CTTCTTTGGTGATTAACAAGTTTTCATTCACTTAAACAATTGATTTATGTTTTTTTTTTCAAACTGGTTATGAGATTAAATTTCAATATCTCAAAACTGTTTACGACTAGTAACCCAATAAATATGTCATAACCATCTCTCTTATAGAAATAATAACAAATATAATTTATAAAGCATTAAAGAAAAACAAACAGTTTTCAAATTTCGTATATTTTTGCCTTTCGGCTTATACTATATAGAATCAATTTCACCTTTACGAAATTAATTTTTCCATTAATTGATAGTTCCAATACAATAATGTCTAATCATTTATTTTTCAAAAAATCTAAATTGATATTTCTATGGTTTACATAGCTCTGAATACATTTTATCAATTGTTTTGTATATAAACTTTAATATAGTCTTTCCTAAGATCTATTGAGTTCATAAGAATTTGTTTGACAAGAATAAACAATAAACGGAGAGCGTACCTTGATCCATAAGGCAGATTCTATGTTATGGGTTACCGTTGGGCACAATTCATTCTCACCCGTAACAAGATCTACGTTTCTTCACTCTGGCCCCTTTGGTCCGTAAAGTGCAACTACTTAAATGGATCAGAGAATAATCAACAGCTGCGGATGTTTTTTCTTTTATGAGCCTCACTCAATATCAACTATTTTTCCGTATGGTGTTTGTAGGGATGCCATCACACTCTCTTTGTTTCGTGTTATACCCTTAATCTGTTTATTCCTTTATCTTTTATAAGTGCAGAGGAAGAGTATTTAAATACTCTAATGGCTCTTATCCATTAAAGCCCAGCCATTATCCTGGGTCCACCCTTAAATAGAACTAGCCCTTTTATATCAACATGGGCCCACATACAGATTATATTAAAAAATAATCTAACCACGTCGTTTGTTTTGCTTTCTTATATTTACTTTAGGAAGGTACAAGACACCTAATGTTTTTTTTATTTGCTTTTGTTTAAAATTAAATTTGAATTGTAATTTAACTGAAAAAACGATATGAAATATACTATTTGAGAACAAGCAGGTGAGGAGGGAATGAATAAATTGTAAAGAGGAGAGGGTATTTTGGGAAAAAGAATTTCCTCTCTCTTTTTTAGACGTGTTAAGTTTTTCCTTTGGACTTGTATCTATATTTGAATTGCAAATTTTGTATATAAAGGATAATATATTTGTAAATTTGGCTTCAAAATATAAAGGATTATTATTTGTTTTATTTTTAAAATTTATAATAGGATATTTAAGTAGTTTCTTTGATCAAAATAGAGGGTAATGGCTTGTAATTTTTTCCCTAAAAAGAAATTACACAATGACGCATGGCTTATAGATTTGGGTCCATGGGCCAAATTAGAGATATTAGGCCTAAAATATCCATTAATTGTGGCCTACTTCCCATAGTTTCTTTAATTTTAAAATTTAATATTTCAAAAAGAACGCGCAAGAGAACAACGGAAACCTGAGAAAAATCAAGAACACTATCGGAGGAGAAATGAGAAGGGATTCTGCGAATTCGGCGAATTTTTTTGTTGATCGCCGTAGCGGTATGGAATTTCGGTTCATATTTGCTCTGTTCTCCTTGTTTCCATGAACCCAAATTTCGACTCCGATCTAAATTTCTTCATCGCCTATACCGTTCTATTAATTTTATTTTATTCTTTGAAATTACCATTACGTCCAAATGTCCTTACAGTCACAAAAATTCAATTCTCATGTTTCCTTCTCTACTAATTGCTAGAGTTAATCTTCTTTCCCTCCTCTGCAGGTAGGTTCTAATTTTGTTTTTCTTTAACTTTAATTTTTCTTTTTGGGGTTTTTCTTATTGGTAGTTTTAGGTTCATCCAAAACTGTACTCATCAATCAGAAAGAGCAGTTCAATAATCTTATTGAAAGATGTCACAGGTATAATTCCTTTTTGTTTTATAATTATTAATAATAGGTTAAATGCACTATTAATACTTTCATATAATAAAAAAAATGCATTATTTTACAGATAAAATATAATTTATAACAAAGAACCAAGTACTCATTCCAGCAAATCTTACTATTTTACTGCCAAGGTGGATGTGGGAACCCTAGATAAGAGTTCATGGTATGATAAGAACTGAGTATGTTGTGAATTAAGCATTTGCGTTATTGGAGTCAATAATTCCATTTTATTATATATGGAATTTATTAAACAGTAACTATTGGTTTAATTTCATTGATTGATATATAAGCATATTGTACAAAATAATTTAATCTTGATATAGGACAAGAATTCAGATATCATCCACAAATTAAACTTGCAAGAGACCAAAAAAAGTGAGTACACACTAAATAGTAAAACACAACGTTAAGGATTGAGAGATATAGACCAGTAATGAAAGGAGAAGTAATGACTAAGATAACTACTAATTAATTAATAGTTTAAATAATCATAGAGAATTACGAATATTTTTAAATCAGGATGCTAAATTTTCACAATGAATTCAATTTGATATGGAAATATAAAAATTTCTTGAGAGCAGCATTTATGAGGAAATAGGTATTATCCTTAGAATAGACATTTAAGTAAAGACTATTTTGAAAGTTTATTCTCCTGCTTTTGTTTTGGCAAGAAACTAATATTTAGTTCATCCAAAATACCTAACCATTGCACTGCTTTTGGATCGGTTGGGATTAATGAAATGAGGGAAGTTTGTTAATATCTGTTAAGTAAGAATTAGTGTGTGGAAAACTGAATAAGCATAAAATGGTAGGACTGTTGAAAGTAAAACTTGTCAAGGCTAATTTATAGTTGCTTTCCATTTTATTTGAATTTTCCTTTTGAAGGAATACAAAATGGGAAATTTGTATGAAGGGGCAAATAATGCTAATCTAAGGACACAAGGCACCCAAACATAAGCTAAAAAAAAAAAAAAAAAAAAAAAAAAAAAAAAAGAAAATTGAGGGGAAAAAAAAAAAAAAAAAAAAAAAAAAAAAAAAAAAAAAAAAAGAAATTGAAGGGGAAAAAAATGAAGAAGAAGATTGAAGTGGTACCAAGGAGCCTAGAGGTGCAAGAAGACAAAATACATTCGTAGGAAAGAGAAGGTTTTGGAGTTCCAACACCTCAGATGCCTCTGTTCATCTGTTGCTTTTGCATGACAAGTTGATTAGAGACAGCAGTTAACAATTATGGTGGTCTAAGCCTCTCATGCGTCAATGATGAGAGGGAGAGAGATAACATACAATCTATATATGAACATTGGATATTTCCCAGATGCTATGTGAAAAAAGAAAAACAAAAATTAAAAGTTGATGGAATGAATGATTTCTGCAGTGCTTATACTGTGTGCTCAAAATTTATAAAATAAATTCTTCATAAAATGCTTCCTATAGTTTTTAGCAGTGATAAAGGTAGAAATTGCTCTGTTGGAGATTGGTATTCTTGTTGGTTTCATAGAGGTTCAGTCCCTGAGAAGCAGGATATAGAATTTTTGGTATTCAATCTTGACTGAACTTCTGTTACCGTAGTCTGCATTTTCTTGTAGTATTAAGCAAATAAAGCAATGTAATGCAGTAAGGTGCACAAAAACAGTAGCTAGAGTAGCATAAATAGTAGCGCTTTTTATTATGCTTCTGTGGCACTGCAAATCCTTGAAGACTTCTGGTATGGTAATTTGTAGAATAAATCTCCCTGACAGGTGTATTCTACTCTTGTGTCAAAGCACACTGATGATAACAGTGGCACTTCTGTATTATGAAGTAGCTCTTTGACTGTGCTGCTGAGTAATGAGAAATAGAGAAATGAGTATTTCCTAGTTCACATGTATTGATTAAGAGGTCTGATCCAGACATTAATATTGTGTTTGTTAAAAACCCAAGTTTTGGATTACATGTGTGCCTAAGATGAGATAGTCTCAAACTCTGGTTCATAAATTGTTCAGGTGTGCCTTGAGGAATGCAATTTTCACATGTCTTCATTAGGTGTGAAATGTTGAATAACATGAAGTAAAAAAAATGGGAAGGATTAATTACAGGGTGGAAGAAAGAATTAAGAGAAACTAGGCTCATTCTTGAGTATTGTTAATTGTTTAACGGAGAAATGCCATTTTTTTTTCCTTTTGGGTTTCATTTGTCCTTTTATATTTCCAAGAACCTTTTTTCATTTCAGTGGTACATGTGGATCTTATTTCCGGAGTAATCAGAAACACGATAATAGGTTCTAGCCTTTGATTATTATTGATACAAAGCTACCTTGTCACTAGTTCAAAAATTTTGTTTTTTCATGATAAGGAGTTCGAACTTGCTGGAACTAATTTTGTTAATTAATCTGCAGGAAGGTCTTGAGAGCTTATTGAGTAGATTATCTATTATTTCTGTGGTAAGCTTATTGTTCTTTTCCTCTATTTTTTATGCTTTCATTTAATATGTAGTCCTTTGCAAGCAACTAATCATGTGTTTGTACCATTTCTTATTTACTCTTGAGAGGGTCATTGTTTACTGCAATGGCAAATGGTTTGGCTTGCAATCCAAACATTGCAGGTCCAGTGCTTGTGAGCAGCCTCTTCATGCAATAATGCAGAAGATTGAGACTGCTTGCACTATTGCCTTTTATAAAATATTTTATTGTGATTAGTATACAGTTAACTTCTTAATTTATTCTTCACTATGGATGCTTACAAAATAAGAAAGGAAGAGGGAGGGACAGGAGGAGACAGAAGGGGAATAGAACATCATTACCTAATTGTATTTAGAAAACTAAATGGAATTTGAAAGAGAATGTTAGAGAAGTATTTTTATTTCATTTGGATGGATGAATGACAGGGAAGAGGGTTTTGTTGTAAAAACGGCAAATAAATCCATATTCTTCAAATGAATTATCAAAAAAATAATAAGGGTGAAACAGGCAATAAAAAAAAGTTATTTTCCAGTATAGGAGTTGAAATTTTTACATCTCTATTTGCTGTTTGATGAATTTAACCTTATAGTAGAGAAATGATTACCCTCCTTTCCCCTTTCCTGCTTTAAAAAAAATAATAATAAAATAAAACAAAATAAAATAAAAGCCAAACAAGATGAGAGAGAGATTTCTTTCATCCTATACATTTACCTCCTAGCCACGCATAGTCAATTGGTATCTTTATTATTTTTTTATTCTCTTCATCTTTTATTTCAATGTTAGTTGGCTATTTTCCTAAATAAAATGACATGAGTACTTCAGCCTTCAGGCTTTGATCTTCTTGTTCTCACATGCCAAATTGAAAAACTCCTCCATCATTTTGTTGTGATGAGAGGAAAGTATTCTTCACTTGCCGCTAGAGGAGTGAGGTTTTCAGAAGACACAAGAATACCTTGATTTCAAAAAGTTCCTTCAGATGGATTTGCTAAATGCACTTGCTAGTTGCTTGGAGAGAACTGGGTAGGGTTTATGAATAACCTGTTGTGTACTTGGAGCTATTTTGATGCATTTATCTTTGTAATCAAATGAACTTTTATTTCATGAATAAAATTCATTTGATTACATTGCGTTGCTTTCAATTGCATCATACCAAATTTAACCTTAAGGTTTACTAGAATACTAAAGATTGCTATATGTGCTCTTGTGCTTTAATTGTGTACCCAAGGTAAGGGTATTGGCTGGTAACATCCACGAAAAAATGGAAAAAGAAATCCCCCTTGGAGCCAAACCATGGTAGGCCTATGAACACAGAGGAGAATATGGGATATGGAAGTTGGATAGTCCAAATATGTATCGTAACGTGAATATCCTTGGAGGGCTATATTCAGCATAACACTCACTGCTGCCCCTAGGGCCATTATGCAGAATTGTATATCTAATGTGCTCCTTAGTGGAGGCTAGGTGGGGGCTTCATACTTGGGAATGAGGGGTTGGCAAATTTGCCCGAAAAATGCTTTATTCTCCTCTCTCTATCTCTCTCTCTCTCTCTCTCTCTCTTGCTATTTTTAACCGAATTCCATTCTATCAACAAAACAATAAAACAAATATTTAAAAAAAAAAAAAAAAAAAAAAAAAAAAAAAAAAAAAAAAAAAAAAAAAAAAAAAAAAAAGAAAATGATCAATTATGCCTAGGAATAATTGAGACAGATTTTACTGAGAAGATATTTGATGTGATATTGATAAAAAACCTGCAATGTTTCCTCGATATTCGCTTCTAAATTTTTATCTTTCCATTTCTATACTTACCTTAGAAAATGTATTGAAAAAAAAAAAAAAAAAAAAAAAAAAAAAAAAAAAAAGAAATGATCAACTTGCCTAGGAATAATTGAGAAAGATTTCTGAAGAATATTCTGATGTGATAATTGAAAAAACCTGCAAATGTTCCTCGATACTTCCTCTTAAATTTTATTTTCCATTCTATACCTCCTAGAAAATGTATTGAAACATTGATTAACCAATAACCTCTAACTAAATATATAAGCTTTAAGATTCAGGTTTATTCATTTTCTTCCCTCATTTTTTCCCCTTTTTTTAATGATTATAAAAATAAATGAATAAAATAAAAATAAATTAAATAGAAAAAACTGTTTGTATATAAAGTTGGGTTTTAGTTTTTTTTCATATTTTATGGACTGAATTAAACCTCAGTTTTAAATCAATTTGGATCAGCTGGCCAATTTTTGGCAGTATATGAACTCCTCACTTCTTACTATGACCGGTACTTTCATTGTCTCACTTGATATGAAATTCCATAATATCATGAGTTGCAAAGCATATTGATACAATAGGTGACATGCATTTCTTGTAGCTATATATCATCTTCAATATATTAAAAAACTTTTGTGGATAGCTTTTCAATGTCACTCATTTAACACTATATTCTAATTAGGGCGGCCCAGTCACCAAATAAAACTCAGCTTTTTTTGAAAATTGTAATTGTATAAAAGCTTCTCAAAATAGGTAATTTTATCATACATTTCAAAAGTTAGTTGCAATGATACCCGTTTGATTAAAAGTACACCCGTTTTGCAATTGAGAAGAGCTTGATGAAGAGTTATAGTAAAGTTGAGGTTGGTAATATATCATATATCAGAATGTGATACTCCCTCCTGCTCAAACAGATAGTCTATTTTTCCTTTTTGGTTTATCCTAAAATATAGTCTACTTTCCTTTTTCTGCATTGTATTTAATCCTTAAATTGTCTATTATACCCTTATTAAATTTTATCTTATTTTTAGTAACCCTCATTAATTCTTACTTATTATTCCAATATAATAATTGTTCATTTGTTATTTAAGATGGGAATAATAGGAAAGTTATATAAATAAAATTGTCCTTTAACCATAATAATTGTCATTTCTTAATCTGTGTGAAAATAGGAGTGGACTATCTTTTTAGGACGGAAGGAGTATAAATTACTATTCCCTTCAATTTTTTGAATCATCTCTAGCTCTTTTTCCTTTTGCTTTTCTTAAGCTCAAGTTTGGCATCTAGTTAGAAGGCTTAGGGCAAAACTAAACTCCCTAAATTGGGGATAGGAATAAGAGTGATGGGGCATTTGCTGTAGCTTACATAAGGCTCCATAAATAGGTGTTGTATCTGTCTTTGAGTATGGAGTTGGATGCATTCCTAAAGTGCTGCCATTGGTTAGTGTGAGCTCCTACTTATTGGGATTGGCTAGAATTGGCCCTCACTGCTTCTTCCACATCCAAACCTAACTCGTTGTTGTCACCAATTTCCCTTGTTTTCTCATTTTGACTATCTTTCCAAGTTTTGCACGTTATTTTTTCTATTAAGCAGAAGACAGGAAGAGTACTATTATTGTTCCTGCAATTGATAATTTATATGAATTAGCTTTTAGTTTTATTTCGCTAGCTAGTTGGCTTGTATATTTTAGCTGCCTTGTCTGCACGTGCAATCTTTTTGTCATAGGAGGAATGCAAGCTAGATAAAATCTTTTCTGATCTGTTCCTTATTCTGCAGCCAACTCTCCATTTCTTCGAAAATGGTAAAAAGGCAGCTGAAATTGTTGGTGCTGACGTTGAACGCTTGAAGGATACAATGGAAGAACTCTATGGGTATTTTAAACTAGTCTCCCTTTCTAATTTGATTCATGATTCTAACTGTAAATGCATTCCCTTATCCTTTTGAAGTGAAGCTTTACGAATTTGGCATAACATGTAAAATGTTAAATTCAATTTTCATGCAGACATAACGAATTATTTTTAGATTGTCTGTCTTCTGAATTCATTTGACGCAGTATAATTGGCATGTATTTATTACAATGGAATATTCTGAATTCTTCCTATATGTCTTTGTTCATGCCTTTAGAAATTTAACTTTTGAGATTAGACGTTAGCTTTTTAGATATCTGCCAACGTGTTACATATTGGCCTCTTTGTATAGGAGTTGTAGCCTGCTGATGTGGTATTCCTGTTATGATACTGGTGATTGGAAAATCTAATGGCTGTTTCTCATAATGATGTAATGCCTCTAACGGCCATGGTGTCTTGACAAAGAAGATATGTAGTTGAATTCTTCATTTAAAATTCATTTCAGTCACTAATTTTGAGAAACAATTCATGATAGCTGCAGCCAATACAGATTCAGTTTCACTGTTTCCAATTCCAAAACTGATTCCAATTCTGTTATTTCAAACCATGGTAGATATTGGTGCCTTTATCTGAACTACAGCTTCCTAGATGCACTAAAGCTTTAATGGTTCTAGTAATTTTAAATTCAAATAATTGTTTTCTGTTGTTTATTACTGGTTCAAACTTGGTGATTCTGAATCAAATGTTTGAATTAGTAGGATCTAGTGTGGTTCAAACTTGAAATGCTCTTGAATGAAGCCAGTACAGAATTGCACTTGGTGCGTCTGTGTCTCTGAACCATTTTCTTATTGATTAGTGGTATCTTTTATTTAATTTTAATTTTAATTTGACTAAATAATGCTAATTGTTTCCTAATGCCTTTGGTTAGGGGCTGCATTTGGGCTTTGAAATGCTTTCAAGGAAGAACACTTTTATTTTAAGTTGAGTAATTTTCTTATTTTTCGTTTTACAGGGAGGATAAATGAAGATGATTTCAATGGAATAATCACGTCATGAGTTTTTGTGATTATTTTCAAGTGATGGAATAGTAGTAAGTTTGCTCTCCATAGGTTTAGCTTTAAGATTTATGTGGATATGTTGGTTGATCATAGCATACCATGTGAAAATATTTTTGCAAGTCAAAATCCTTTTTGTCTACCCTCATCACTGTATTTTCAGCAATGCATAATTAGTTAAGGCCTTATATATCTTGAAGCCATGTTAAAGTGATGCATGTTGAAAGGGGAACCGAGGCAGAGTATATTAGAACTTCTGATTCTCCTATTGAAGGGACAAAAAAGCAGCAAAAAGAGACTGATATTTCCTGAATTATGGTTCGAAAGGTGTTTGGATTTTGCTGGTTGTTTTAATTGTACTCTAAATCTAGCTTCTTCTTTTTTTTTTTCTTCAGGTTCCTAAACTTGAACATTAATTATAATAGCACCCCAAATTGAAATCTTATCGGATTTAATGAATAAAAAATTATTTTTGTGGGATCCTAACCTCTCATGGTCAAGTTAACACAAGAAATGAGTTAACCCAAAACACTCTTTCAAGCTTCTCTCAACCCATTGCACTTCTCCATCTTCTTGTTGCCGACCACATTTTCGGTTATTGACGGCAACAATCGTCTTCTCATTTTCTCAAACCATAACCCTTGACCAATTCATTTAATTGACTTTCATCTGCGAAACGAAGAGAAGAAAATTTTGCATAAAGTTTCACTGTCGCTTTCAAGCCAAAAAATGGTGAGATAAAGACCGGTCTCCTCCATTCCTCTCTAGGGTAAAAGCTTCAAAGACATTCGATTAGGTTATACTCCAGTGTTATACTTCTCTAGAGCAGTATTTATTTGTTAATTTCTCTATTTAAAACGGTATGTTTTGGATTAACCATTCCTTTGGTTAACTTGACTATGAGAGAGATTATGGATTCCAGAAAATTAATAGTTTATTTATTAAATCGGGTAGATTTTGAATTTGGGTGCTACTGTAACTAATGTTAAGTTGAGGGTGCGTGAAGAAGAAAATTAGATTTAGGGTAAAATTAAAACAATCCGAGGGTTTTTTTTTTCTAACAATTCGGCCTAGTTTAAATGCCGGATGACCATTTTTCTGAAAGCGGTTTAGTATAATTCATTTGAATTTTAATTTTTTCCATTTAGTTGGTATTGAATGAACTGTTCATTTCACTATTCGTAGAGTCAATTTTATAGAATTCAACATAATTATAAATCACATTCTATCATTTTCGAATGAATTTTATATTAAAAATGGTACATCTGCGACGCATCATGACAATTTGTAGGAAGGAAAGCTGCTACGAGCATATGATCTTTTGGCAAATGTTACGATTTGAACATCAAAAGGGCCTCACTTATTACGACTGTAGGCTTGGTCCAATAGTACATACAAAAGGTACCTCCGATCAAGTTTTAGAGGGTTTTCAGTTTTGCTACTTTGAGCTTTTTGACTAAAGATTTAATTTTAATTTATAAGTCAGTTTAAAAATAAATAGTTAGTGTTTGGGAAAACCAGACTTAAGTAGTATTTAAAAGCAATTCAATTTATTATAATCACCAAAAATAGAATAATGTGATTTTTTACTTGGTAAAGAGGTGGATTTGAAATAAGTAGATAATCATAAATAGAAGTTCTTTATTTATGACTTTAATTCTATTTATAAATTTCTATTTAGAAGTAGGTTTAACTAACTTAAAAATCAAACTTTTAGTAACTTCTTTGTGGTTTAATATTTACTTGAATTTCACAACTTTAATTATGGAATGTTGACATCTACCGCGGTTAATATAATTTTTAAAATAATAATTCACATTTTTAACTATTTAATAAGTGATTAGTCAATATAATTTTAGAAAATGGAGTATTTATTAAAATAATTTTTAATAAATTAAAAATTAAAAGGGTTTAAGTTGAATCTGCTTTTCTTGTCAGTGTTGGTATTTTTTTTGTTTTGTAATTGGTAGAATGTGAAGTGTACTGGAAACTATGGCAAGAAATGTAGGCCTTTTGATCAACTTGGATCCCTTTGTTTAAAGGCCTCGAAACTTATTTCATTTTGGGATCACTTTGCAATATTTCTCGATTTCTTTTTTTTTTTTTTTCTATTCCACAATATTTGTCACATTTGGAATTTCACATCTCTTAAGAAAATCATTAAATTTATCTAATTACAATAAATTATTAAGTAAATTGACTATATTACTCTTAATTTAATATTTATTCTCTAAGAAAACTATTAAATTGAAATAATAATTATTGGTCTATTCCCAATATTTGTCAACATTTGGCATTTCACCATCTCTTAAAGAAAATCATCTAAATTTATCTAATTTACAATAAATCATTAAAGTAAATTGACATTTTACTTTAATTTAATTATTTATTCTCTAATGAAAATATTAAATTGAAATAATAACTTATAAATTATTAAGTAAATTGACTATATTACTCTTAATTTAATATTTATTCTCTAAGAAAACTATTAAATTGAAATAATAATTATTGGTAATATACAAAAGGTAAACATGGAAAAAAAAATATTTATTACTTCTTAAAACCATAAACGTGACAATTATGTTGAAATAAATTATTTTTTCAAATGTGACAAGTATTATGGAACATTGTTACAATTTCAAACAAATTTGAACTTAATGCATCAACTCGCTATAAGGTAGTGGGCCAGTCCAAATCCATTAAGAGAAGCCCACAATGATCAAGAAATAAAACATCATCTCTTGCCACTCGGCTCTGGAGATCATTGGTATATTTCTCAAAAGTTGTTGAAAATCTTGAACTAAAAGCCTTGTTGGGATTTGGATATGAAAATCTTGTCCAAAATTATAACTATACAATTTAGTGAAATTCATACGTCACAATATTATTAAAATTTTTGAAAACGTTTTTTTTTTTTATTCACCAAGAGGCCAAACCTCACAATAGAGGTAGGTCTTAACGCACTAAATTGGTGAAAATTTATATGTTTAAGAAAATTCTAATTTAAGACTTCTTATTCCTCGTATAAGTGAGAATATTAATTAAATCGTACACCCCATTACTATTAGTCCGAGTAATTACAGATTTTAGATATCCAATAAAAAAATATGTTTAACATAAGTTCCCTTTGAAATTTATCTTAAATACACTAATTTTAAAATTATATTTAGATAAGCATAATTATTATTAACTTAATTGATAATTATGTTTTTGGATAAAGTTAAATTCATAATAATTAAACCATTATTATTGTTATAAAATTAAAATAGGTTAAATCTAGTAAATAGAAATTAAAAATATAAATTTAATTCAATATGGATGATAATCAAAATTTTGGCTAAATACATACTTTTTTCCTTAAATTTTGTTATTTTAATCTCATGACACTCTCAATTTTTATTTCGACCCATCAAATAATTTAATTTATAAAATCACATCTACTAAACACTTTAAATTATAAATTAAATTAATTAAACACTCATTAAATATTTAAAAATATAAAAATTATTATTGTAAAAATGATTTTACCTATGTATGAAATCAATATTTTACATTTAAAAGCCAAAAGTTCTTTAAAATATTTTCATTATTAAAATTTATGTATAATATAATATTATTAAAATTTATAAATTTAAAGATACAATAATTTATTTATAAAAATTCAAGAAAACACAGAATTAAAATCGCAAAATTGGAGAGCTAAAGTTTTTAAGATTCGGTGAAAATGTAGAGTCTCGATATATGCCACGTAGGCTATTGGAAAAATTATTAAAAGAGACAAAAGTAATAATTATAGATGGTCTTATCTCACTCTCATGAAAATGGATCCTACCATATAACATTATTATTATTATTATTATATTTATTATTTGAAGAAATGAATACAGTATTCAACGAAGACCGTGCAAAGAGAGTAGTGAAGTGGCAGGTCTACACTAATAGAGCAGTGGGCAGAGTTGTAGGGTCAAATAGACAGAGACCAATGGTCAAAGTATTGGGACAATGATAAGGGCAAGGGCTGGAATATCTGATTGTTGGGTCCATTTCCACTTTCACCACTTCACCAATATTACACACAAAGCGACAAGGATGTCCATCTCCTTTGTACCTCTTTCATAAAACTTTATAATAATAAAGGCCCCCCTTTTTACTTTTAAGCCATCCGAAATTTAAAGGTTTGACTGGTGCGAAGAATTCGGTGCTGCTAATTCAACTCATCGATTCGATTCAGGAAATAAATATTTAATTCAAAATTTAATTAAAAAAATTAGATTTCCGATGAACGGTTAAAAAATGAATTTAGCCGAATTAATTAAACTAATTGATTTTAAAAATTACGTCATTTTGATTAAGTATATAATAAAATTAAACATTGAAAACATTTTAATTTTTATGGTTAAATTCGATCGGTTAATTAAGTTTTAATTTTTTAAAACTTTGATTCGGTTAATTGTTAAAATTAATTTGAGCAAAATAATTTAGTTAAGTTCGGTTAAAAAATTATTTTAATTAAATTCGGTTAAATTAAAAAAAATCAGATAAAAATATTGCTCAAATTGGCTGAATGCTCACTTCCATGACTGACTAATCCTGACATACACCGAGCGAATCCATTACGAGGAGTAAAGCCCTTCCTCCTAAATATTTAAAAAGACTTCATATTTTAGAATCAAACTCGAAATATTTAGTTAATGAAAAGGATGTTTGCCTCCTCGAATGGTAAAAAAGAAGTCATTTTTATTTTATTTTAAAATTGTCAAAAAATTTTAATCTTGATAATTTAGGTAATTTTTTAAAATTTATATAATTTAATTATCTTAAACCGAAATTTACTAATATAATAGAAAATATTATATTATATTAATTTTTCATATGTTGATAATGAAGTATATTTGCCATGTTTAGTAAACCAATATAGTTTAACATTAATTTTTCGAATGAAATGTTATTAGTTCTAAAATTAAGCATTATTATTATAAAATTTGATTACATTACATTATTCACTAAAGTTTACTAAACCTAACCTAAATTTAAATCTATTCCCTTGTTAAATTGAATTCATAATAAAATGATAAAAGATTCAGAAAATATTATATAAATCTAACAAAATTAAAAATTTGAGACAAAAGTATAAAAAAAAATATATATTTTGGAATTGGAAGTATTTTTTTTATAATTAAGTAATAATTAAACGATTCTCTTCTCCTCCTACTGGTGGTGGTGGCGGTGGTGGGCCTTGATTTGGAACAACTCTATGATATGAGGAACCATTTCCTCTGTGACTACTTTATTAGCATCATGTCTAGGTTGAACGGAAGGGACGTACTACATTAACCTAACAAATGCC